TATATATATATATATGCTGGTTAAGCAGTTTCCAGATCAACTAAAGAAAATCCTACTTAACACTCACATACATAGGCTCTAAAGCCAATAGAACTCAGTGAGCATTCAACAAATACAGATCCAGGCACTGTCCTAACAGTGAGCAAGACAGGCTTGTTTCCTACCTGCACAAAATGTCAGGTCTAGTGAAGGTGACAAGCAAATAAATTGTATGGTGTGAAGCTGTGGTCAGAGAAGCCCTGGGCATTATTAAAAGGGGCATTTAATAGGTTTGGGGATCAGGAAATGGACATGTAAAAAGCTTCCTTCCTTTCATATTTATCATCCTACATCTGGGTACTGCTTTAAAAAAAAAAAAAAAAAATCTGGGACACAGATTCCAAAATGTGGGCTTGAATGGGATTTGAGAATTGAGGGTTCTGACTAGCCAAAATAAAATGAAAACCTGTAAGTAACACCAATTTGGGGGAAAGTATGAAAGCCACATCTGTGAGCATTAGAAGAAGATGAAGGACTCGATCTCCTTGCTCAGGGACACCCCCAGAATTGTCCCAGTAGCCTGGATTGGCAAGAGAAGCAAAGGAGCAACACAAAAAGAGAAGCAGGGGAGAGAAGGAACCAGAGAAGCATAAACCCCCTGAGCTCGGCAACAGAGATGGGAAAGAAATTTCTGTAGGCAGGAAGTAAGATCATATTAATTTCTTCCCTTCATTATGCCTTTCCTTTTTTATGTCACAAACCAACTTATTACCATAATTTTGTGATAGGCTCCTAACCAGTCTCTGCCCCCAGACTTCATTTCCTTAAAATAGTTCTAATTTAACATCACAGTGCTTACATTCCTAAAACACCCATTAATCTTCAAATTCTCATATTAAAGATGTAATAAGGACCTAAATTACCTGCTGGATCAAGTTTATACTTCAGTCTAGTAATCAAGGCCTTAAATGCAAATCAGATCAGTAAATATTTAAGTGCCAACTATGTGTAAAGGTTGTGGAGGGTACAAAGAACACCAGTGAAGGAGACACAGTGAACATATGGGACAAGAATGAATTCAGCAGGTGAAGCTTTCAAGGGTGCAAAATTCAATTCCAACTTGAGAAAGGGGGTATTTTGATTCACAAAGGAAGTGACCCTCTTGGGCTTTGAAAGAACAGGGGGACTTCTTCAAAAGACAGAGCTGGGTGACATAAGCATTTTCAAGTGGAATGACAATAAAAACAAATATCTGATGTGCTCAAGAAAAAGCAAGCAGTCTCATGTGGCTAGATCCTCTCTCCTTCCCACAACATAGTGTGGTGTCGGTAGCTTGAATCAGACTGCCTGGGTTCAAATCCTGACTCCACCACTCAGTACCTTGTACTGCCTTGGACAAGTAACATGACCACTCCATGCCTCAATTTCCATAACTATAAAACACTGATACAGGGTTATGGGGACTAACTAAGATAACCCCTGAGATGCCTGGGGTTGGCACATGATAATCATTCACTCAATAAGCAGCTGTTAACAGCACTACAAAAGGATTTTGGGACCAGTGATGAAGGGCCTCAGTGCTCCCCTGAGTGCTTTGAGCTTCACTGAACAGACAGACCACTGGAGGCTCTGCAGCAGAGAAATTACTGAGTCCAACCTGGCGGCACATGGGTTACTCTGATGCCAGCCTCTGTGGAATGCACAAACACATGTGACTATTTACAAAACATTTGCATTGACGGGGAAAGGGCCTGGATTTCCACTGAAGCAAGGAAAGAAAAGTATAATGTCAAGGAAGATTCTGGAAGAAGAAATAAAAGGACACTACTAGGAAAAGTGCAAGTAAGACCTGTAGAACAATTATAAAACAACCAAGACATCAAGTTCAGCCACACTCTATTGTTTTCCTTTCCATTCTCTGAACTCCTAGAATTATAGTTTGGCAACGAGTCTGCAGGAGTGTTGCATGTGCCCTTGACATATTAGTCACTCTTTTGTGCCTTCATAGCGCTTTTCACAAGTCAGTGAGCTCCTCCTCAGTGACAGGAGCAGGGCGAGGCTATGTAAGCTACTTCCCTTGTAGTACAGATGTGACACACCAAGCACCTCAGGGATGGGCAAGTGGCCATATGACACATACCCACATTCAAGAATTCCAATGGTTCCACTTGTTAAATGAAGCCTAGTTTTGCTTGGTGAAAAATCATTTCAAGTTTGGTGACAAAGGAGCATAAATCCATTAAGGATGAAACCTGACACCGTGCCATGTAAACTCGGGTTCCTCTGACGTGCAATAACCTGGCACACAGCCACACACCACACTTAGCCTCTTTTTCTTAATCCATGGATGCAGCTAGTCAGCTGTCACACTGAGAGAGTTAGCTGCATCTAGCACCGATACATTAATCAGGCTGCGTGGTTGGATTTGCTCTTTGAAGGGTGAAGGCATACACGCAAGTTCACAAAACAAAGGACACCTTGCTGCTGTTCCTAATATTCATTCACTAGTTCCTGATGTTCCCCAAGCATAACACAGGCCATTGTTCTCATCCACTGAAACTTATAATGCTGATTATATATTTCCAATTCTTTAAAAATGACCTTAAACACCTGAAACTAATACAAAATATTATTAAAGGTAAACTGTAAATGAAAAATAAAACTTTAAAAAATAGTAAAATAAAAAAATAAAGCTAAAAAGGTAATTTACAACTAATGATTTCAGCAAGCTGCAAAGCTTTTTTTAGATATGTTTGTAAATATGTGTGGGAAAAATGGAAAGAAATATACCTAAATGTTAACAAAGATTACCCATAAACGATGGGATTACCAGTGATTTTTATGTATCCTGTACTTTCCTGCATTTCCAAATTATCACAACTACATAGTACTTTATAATCAGAAAAAAAGCTTAAAGTTGTAAAACTTTACAGTACTAATAAAAATCCAATAATACCAAATAAATATGCTATTTTAAATTATTTCACATATAGTTACCTCATGAATATAACTTAGACCAAGTTCTATACTTCATGTTGTTCCTTAGGAAACAAACAGGAAGGAACCAGAGAAATCTACACTAAGCTAAAGAATCCCAAAAGTTCCTCCATGCTAAGGGATTCATATGTCAAATTGCTTTACATGGGTTTTTTCTAAAAGAGAAAAGCTTGACCTAGACAATCAACAGCTTTTTAGCCTGCATGTAAAACATACTAAAAGAACATTCATTACCTAATAAATCTGTTAAGTCATCTTTGGGGATTTTAGGTAGGAAAATTTACAAATACCTCCAGTCATTCTTCATTTGATGGTATATTTTGTTTGGACTCCAAATGTTAAGAAACGCAATTGTCATACTGTAACTAACCCTCAATATTCCCATTAAGAGACAAGACGTGGTATAAAACTCTAGACTTTCTAAAGTATAAATTAGCACTGAAAGTCACTAGGAGGTTAATATGATAGAGAAAGAAATGCCATGTCCCTAGAGGCCTACACCTCTCGTGTGTACCAATTTCTCCTTATGGTCAGTTAATTGCTCTGAGAAAGGGCCTATATTAGCCATTCATTTATTAGACCTTCATGTAAAGCTTCCCGCGTGAGTCCTGCCCCTGAATCAGGGACTGTTGTGCAGTGTCAAGGCGGCAGCTGCTGAAATGGGCAGTAGAAAGAACACCCAGCTAAACCCCAAGGCGACTGGCCAATGGTCCCACACACCCATTTCACAGGGTCATCTGGATCCATAAACTCAGAGTTGAAGGAGACCTACTTCATCCAAGATCTGTTCAAAATAAAACACAATCTCATATTCCACATTATCAGCCCATGTAACTGGCTATAACGCCTAGAAATACGGGTTAGAAATACGGGTTCCAGTTTAAATACTTATGCTTCTGAGCCTGGGTGATTAAACACCTTCCCAAACTCACCTTTGATCTTGAGCCCTCTATCTGCGGTGAGCTTCTCCCCTCTCCAAGCTCAGACATTAAACTGAGGCCAGAGGTTGAAGACAATGTGGCATTGGAAGTGGCAGCCTGGTCCTGGGAGAGAGACGAGAAGGGGCGTGTAGGAGAAGGCAACCTCATCACATTCTCTCCCAGTGTCGACGTCCCGGCCCCTCTTTCATTGAAGGAGCTGGAAGCAAGCTGGCGTGGGTCAGGTTTTTGCACAGAGGTGCTGACAGAACTGTACTGAGTTCTCTTAACACCTTCTACGTCTCCATTATACTTCCAAACGTCATCCATCTAAAGAGGAAACATCATTTTAAACTTGATATTATTCGATTTCTGTTTTAAAATGTATACATTAATATTTTAAAGCTATAAAAGAAGCATATGCCTCACACAGGAAAGTGAAGATTACTAAAAGTTTGGAGTACATTCTTTCACGCCAGATAGGCATATATGTAGGAGGAGGAGTTGTTTTCACAAAAGTGTTCATAATATAAACAGACCTCTGAAACTTGCTTTGCTCATTTACATGAATCCAGGTCAACAGATAGAATTCGACTCTTTTTAATTGTTGAATACTCTAGAGTAATACCTACAATGTATTCATGTGATACGCATCCAATGTTGTTCAAAGTTTTCGGTAACTTCCAAAAATATTGCAACAAATACCCACATAATTATAATTTATAATCAGAATGTTTCTTTTTATAGCATAGATTTCCAAAAGTAGACTTGCTGGACCAAAATATATTTATATATGTAACAAATAAATATAAATTATATATAATATATAAATATAAATTATACATAATATCTTTTTAAAATTATAGCAACGCACCCTCAAAGTAATGTATAAGAATGCTGGTTTCTCTGCATCCTTGCCAACACCACACATTTTGAATTTGATGGGTGAGAAGCTGGACACTTCATTCTCATTCTAATGAGGTTGAACGCGCGCCTGGGTGCTTTATGTTATCGACCATTCAAATTCCCTCTCCCTTGAACTGAACTGGCTATTCTTCTCTATACACATTTTTCTACCATTCATCTTTTCCTTACCAATTTGTAGGACCATTTTAAATCTTAGGGATACTGGCCCTATATCTATAACACATTTTACTAATATTTTTCCAAGTCTATAAATTATCTTTTGACTATGTTAAAAGTGTCTGTCATATAAATTTAATTTTTATTTTGTCAAATATGACTGTGTTTTACTTAAGATAATGGTCAGGAGTTTCCTGGCTAGTTTAGACAAGCTTCCCTTGCTTCAATTTTTTTTAAATCATATTTTTTCTCTTTTAGATTTTAGGATTCCACATTTGCAGAGAAAAAAGGAACTTGAATATTGATCTTAAGATGGTATTGCTTTTACGTAGTTAAAATTAATACACCCACTTTCAGGTTTGTGGTGCTGCTTTATTCTCAGGGCAAATGGTTCTATATTCTATATTTTTTAAAATAGCAATATAAGTAGAAATATACATATACTTTTTTAACATAAGATACATTTTAATAACTTCGCTCAAGCACATCAAGTTCTAATGAAGTGAAAAATGAGGAAAAATAAAACTTTGTACATAAGAAACAAAAATATTTAGGTTAACCCATATGAAATTGCTGTTTTGTAAGTCTAAAAGAACTGACTATTGGCAACTTCATATAGTGCAAGCTCACACTTTACAAAGGCTATATCTGAGAAAATCGGATGCTAAAAAATAAATGCTCTGCCTTAGAATGTAGCTTATTCATTCTTCAAAATGTATCAGTTCTACTCTCATTGAATTTAAAGCTGAATCAATTCTGCATCATTGCTATATTTTAAGCATTAAATGTCTATTGAATCTATATTGGCTAAAATAAAAATTGCATTATGTCATGTACGCTTTACCCATCAAATATACATAACTCAAGCTTCTGCACAAATACACCACCAGTTTGCTCTCGAGAATAGAGTATACGAACTGAGAACACTTTTTTACCGTGTAGGATCTCGAGAGCGATGAGATTCCCCTTGACTGAGAGCCAAAAGGTCTCGGTGTGACCACAGATGTCAACCTAGCTGTATCAGTTTTCTGGTAACTTCTGGGGAGAGAAGCTGAAACCCGAGTCGACTCCATTTGTGTAGTCAGTGAACGCTGAGAAGACAAAGAGGCTGGGCGTTGCTCTTCTGTGGGACTTGCAGAAGGAAGCTGAATTTCAGCTGTTAGAGTGTCCTCTCTTTTCACGAAGGTTGTAGAATCCTGTTTAGGAATTTCTGTAGGATAGGTTGTTCCCTTCGCTTCTCCTCTCTCACTCTGGTGACTTGCTTCTGACATAGTTAGTGTCAGGGGAAGCTTGTCTTCATCCAGCACATCAGAAGAAGAACATATTCTCTCGCTCGATGTAACTGTAGATGTCTGATTTCGGGATTCCCTTAACAGAAACACACCATAACCGCAAAGTTATGCGTTTGGCATAGAAAGGTGGACAGGCAGATCTTATTTTGGTAATTAACATATAAAATGAACTGAGAATAAAAAGATGACCACTTCACACAATAAGTAATACAATATTAACAGGATATGAAGATAAATACATGCAATTTTTATGCTACACTAAAGAAATTTTAATAAGGAAGTATTCACCAAATTTATCCACAAGTTCGTAACTCTTCGAAAATTGACACACTATACGTATAACTAATTGTAAGACAACCAATTTGAATCCTCCGAAGATATAGATTCCTTATCAGCATTGTATTTCCTGTACATGATTTATAATAATTTAGTAAAAATAAAAGACTACAAAAGACAGAGACTTCCATTAAGATCAACTTATTCTAAGGTTTCACACAGCTTCATAGAATTTGCATGGACAGTTATTACCGATTAAAAGTCACCATTCATACTTATGGAGGAACTGATGAAACAGTTTCATCTCTAGCATTTAGTAAGGAGTTCCTCTCAAGCTGGCTGTGTTGCCATTAAGTGAATGAAACTGTGTTTGCCACTGGCTTCTAGGGCACAAAGGAGCTTTGTTTAATTTCACCTGACAGCACATTTCCTTTTGGACGTTATCCTTAAAGCATATTTGCCATCTCCCTGACCTGTATATGCCCCAAGGTTTCACATAGTAACGGCTCGACAGGAAAGTTTAAATTTAATCTTTATCCTGTTATGTTGCAATGCAAAAAATAAACCCTCACAATTTATTTTTGTGTGGCCTTCCTTTAAAATATAATTTTAATTGTACCACTAAAACATGAAGAAGAAATTTGCTATATTTTACACAGTTTAGTTAAGAGTGGGAGCTGATTTTATTTGACCATTCCATTCCTACATTCATTTTAAACGGAGAAAAAATAGTTCATTTTCTGCACCAAAAATAGCCACCGCCACCCAATTCTGCGTGTGAATATTCATGCAAAATGAAGAAATAATGAATATCTACTTAGCACTCCTTTCGTTTGTTAATCCAAGTCACCATTTACCATAGCAAGACTTTGCTTTTTCACTGCAAAGCAAATGCTGAAAGTTTCACTACACTGTTTATAGTTTAATATTGGTGCACAATCAAATCACCCTGCACATCCACAAAACTTCCATTTCTAACACTGGTCTCTCCAACCAGGAGATCCATTCAGCCTATTACCTGTCCTGCAGCATTTCCTTAAATGTCTTAGAGCTTCTCTCAGATTTCTCAAGCGCCTGCTTTTCAATTTCTTCCCTCTCTTCTTTTTTCTTCTGCAAATCTGAAGTGTAGCTTTTTCGACGATCTTTCCATTTTGCAAGGTCCTGACAGAAGAAAATCACATCAGCACAGCATACCTGAATTTCTACACACTCTTTCTAGCAGTGAGAGCGTGCCAGAGTATCCCATTACATCGCTGAAACTATTCACTCCCACTTGATGCCAAGGTGCCCTAATTTTGCTTTTTATAGCCGGCGTTTCTGTACCAAGCTTTTATCTCATGTGTCTGCCTAAAAAGCCTGACCTAATAAGATAGACCCCATTTTTGTTTCCTTGCCTCGTTGCCCATTTCACAAAGAATGCTAAATGCTTGTAATTAGGCGCCAGGTCAGAAAGAGCAGGAACTGTTTCAAGTTCATTTTCATCTCACTCCAATAATCTGGCCTTTAAATGAAATGACATTTTTTTCACTAGTAAAACTGGAAAAGAAACATGATTGTAAAATAGTTAAGCATGGATGCACACTGGGTCTTCCACTGAACAAACCTAAGCTCGGTCCCTGCTTTGAGGCAAGGGGCCTGTACACACACAGATGAATCAGATGTCTTCCCCACCCCTCCCCTCTCCAGGAACACTTAGTGTAGAAGGGAAAGATGACACGTAAATAATAGTTCAACAGTGATTGTGACAGGTTCCTGAGAGAGTGGGGGTTCAAAGGAGAGAGTGGTCAATTCCACCTCAGGCAGGGGTTTGGAAACTGACTTCAAAGTGGCTAAACTTTGCGTAAGGACAGGGCAATAAGGAAGATCACATGGGAACAAGGGGACACCTGTTTCCCATATTCCTAGGAATGTAAGTCTTACCTAGCTGGGTGAACCCAAGACAATCAACCTAATTCAGCTTTAAATTAGCTGTAGCAGTCTAAGCTGGTTCCAACACCCAGGGGTTCAAGGCATTTTGAATAGTACAACCTTTTCTATGTCTGTCTCCCAAACAGAGGTATCCCATACTAAGAACTGCTAGCGTCATTCTGGCCCAAGGAGAAGCCTATCCAAGTTCTCAGACTAAAGGGAATCTCACGCCCAGGATGAACAAAGTTAAGTTTGGTTTATGCCCTTTGGGAGCAGACCAAGCCACTCCTGCTTTAAAAATGGCCTGAATCCTGTATGAACTATTTGCAGAAAGAACAAAAGCAGTGTGCATTTCATCCTATAGAATGACAAGCATCAATTTTTACCTGACCTAACCTAATGGATAAATCCTCAATAGTTATTATTTTCACACCTACTTACCATGTATTTTGGCAAAGTGACACTGAATTCCTGTTTCCTGACAATTAAATTGAGTTCCCAACTAAAAGAGGCACTGGAATTTTGAAATGTAGCCACAGCAGGGGTTTCTTCTCACTTAGGCTTTATTTCCTTTGAAAATTAAGATTTACTCTCTCTGGCCCTTTTGTTCATGCTACCACTCAACTCTATTACCATAAAGACGCCTTCGAACTTTCTTTGGGTTTGCTCTGTATAGTTTATCTGTTGTATTTCTTTACACACTGCTTTGGTTTATAACAATTACCCCTTTCAAAATAGGTCAAGCTTTTTTCTGCAGAGACAAAACTAAGATTAAGTCTACATCCATATAGACATGTGGATATATGACAGCTCTGTGAAAACATCTAAGTTTGATTCATAATTATATGATTACTTTTCCAGCCAAACTATTACCCTGAGTTACACAGTTCATATTTCTTCTTAAATCTCCTCTATTCACTTTAAGAAGCTGTTCATCTCTCCACGCTGATGCCAGGACTCTGTGCTGAGCCCCTGCTCCTCTGCTTTCCCAGACCTAGAGCAAAGTTTGTTCCTTTCACGAGCATCAGTAACAATCCTACCCAAATTCAGCTACCGAAACAAGTCAGCAAGCTAGCAGCACTGCAAGAAAGCAGCTCCTCATATTTGAGAACTCAGGGAATATTAGAAGATAAACGTCCTGTTGTGTTTTGCACAATGGCCTTTAAAATATACAACAGTAATAGACCAAAAAGGTTTTAAAATCTTTTTAAAGGAAGATGATCACATTTTCTACAAGCCTGAATTCTTTAATAGCAAGGAAAATCATCTCGAGTATACTGACTTTCTTTGAAGGGGAGTAAAGAAGAGTCATACAAACTCACTTCCCTGTCTTCCCATCTCCCAACACGAAGAATACTCACATCCTGCCATTTCTGATCCTGCTCTTTTAATTGTGATTTCATTTTCTGCATCTCCTCGTAACGCAGCTGACGCAAGTTCTGAACATCCTCTGCGCTGACATCACTCAAGGACTTGCTCCTGTAACAAAAACACCCATGGTAACCAAGGTTCACATGATCAGATTTAGGGTTAAAACTGGAAGGTTGGGCTTATACTTGGAAATTCCATCTAAATTTCTGCCGTACTACCTAGATGCTTTAGTGATAACATCACAGAAATAGCACTACAGAGATAAATGGTGTTTTTCCAAAACGCAGAAACAAGAGCCTTGCATGCAACTCAAGTGTGAATTCTTTCGCAAAGTGGCTAAATGAAGCCTGCACAAGTCTGAAAAAAATAATCCAATGCTTATATTTAGAGTAGTCCATGCATAAAAAAAAAACTATTTCAGAAAAAAATATTAATTATTAGTCACTAGAACAATTTGTCTTTATTTTTCTATCTCTCCCCAAGATAATCTTTTAAGGTTTGGCTGCTGTTCTGGACACATTAAATAATTTAATGATTACCTGATATTTTCTCCTCAAGTTCAATACCATGAATAAATGTGCTGCTTTTTCTCAAAGATTCTATAAGATCCACCCGCCATTGCACTGGGCCTGTTCTCAAAGCACCACAGGTAGCTTCTGATATGCAGTTATAATATAGCCTCCATAGTTCTCTGTTTCATTAAGGCAGCTTTCATGTCTTCTATGGGTAACCCCTGCCAAGAGCTCAGTCTAGAGTAGAAACTAATGACCAGAGTAGGGTGTTGCACACGAGGCATATGTGTGCTATGTGCATGCACCTAGAGAGGGAGGGGGTAAGTTGCCCTGGAAAAGGTGAAACTGAGGAAAAAAAGAGGAGTCAGATCTGAATATTGAAGAGCAGGTAGGAATGAGTGAAGAGAGAGGGACAGCTTTTGAACGTAGGATGCCCAAAATTCTGTCTCCTACAAATCATTCATAAGGCACCTCTGATTTTATTTCATCATAAGTGACTCCACCTTTATTCATTTAAGTAACACTACACCTCCTTCTTGGGCCCCTTAACTTTGCCTTCCCCAAGATTTTGCCATTACCACATTTCTTTTATAACCCGCCTGCCCTTAGCTAGCTCAGGAATTCAATTATAATCTCTATGTAAATGACTCCCAGATCCACAGACTAGGACCAGTCCCCTCCTTAGACTCAATTCTAATTGCTCACTAGATAAACATCTCTGTATGGATATCCCCTAGGTACCTAAATTGTAAAAGGACCAATTAAAATAATATCAAAAAGGATTCTGTAAACAGTAACTCACTAAACACATGGTTATTGCTGATGTAGCCAAGGTCAATTCTGTCCGCAGGCCTGCTTTTCCTCCTATAGCTGTAAATGGTGTTACCTGCCCTCCAATCATCCAAATCTGAAACCAAAGAACCATTTTTCACCTTTGCCTCTCCCTTCTCCCTTCTTTCAATTAGTTATCAAGTCCTCTTACTCAGTGTCTTTTTCTTTCCATTTCTATTGCCAACACCCTAGATCAGAGCACAGTCAACTCTTACCTAGACTTTTTAAAAAGCTTCTTAAATTATCACCCAGCCTCCAGACCCAGTGAAGGTATCCTGAACTGTTCCCTCCACTCAATAGCCCTTCCCCAGTACATATGCCTTTATAAATGCCCCTCTGTCCCCAGAAATCCTGCTAGACGAAACTCCAGATGAGTATATGCAACATCCTCTTGGAAGTCTAACAGGCAGGTCAAACTTGTCACAGACCAAAAACATGATTGCTCATCTCCCACCTTCCTCATCCCAATAAAAGTCAACTCCAACATTCCAGACTATAGGCCAAACTCTTGGAGTCATCTCAGAATCCTCTCTTTCTCTCATACATGGTAACCGATCCCATCAGTAAATCCTGTCACTCTACCTTCTAAATATATCTAGGATTCAACCACTCCTCACCACCTCCACCATTACCACCCTTACCCAGGCCATCATATTTCTTGCCTATATTATTACAATAATCGGTCTCCCTGATTCCACCTCTTCCAGCCCAACAGCACACTCATAACACAGCAGACGGAGTCATCTTCAAAACTGCACTCAGATCATGGCATGTGTCTACTCAACACCCACCAGTTCCTTCCCATCTCGCTTGAGTTAAAAACAGGTCCTACCAAGACTTACCAGGTCCAACCACAATCTGGCCCCTGCCTACTTCTCTGCACACATCTCCTGAAACGCTCTCCTCCACTCACTCGACTCCTGCCAACAGGTTTCCTTGTTCAGGCTCAAACATGAGCTCTTCACCCAAATATCCACATGGCTTATCTCTCACTCCCAGTCACCTGCTTAAATGTTACCTCAGTGTTTCCTTCCCTGGTCACCCTACAAAATATATCCTATGTCCCTCTCCCCTGGATCACCTTTCTCCTTACCCTTTCTACACAGCAAATATTGTCATCTGAAATGTATGTTTATGTCAACATCACCTGCCTTGTCCTAAAAAATTACAAAGCAGAAGTCTGTCTGGTTTGTTTATTGTTACATCACCTGTGCCTCAAAGAGCGCCCAGCCCATGGCAGGGGCTCAAAAATATATTAATGATCTAGATAATATTCTGCCACTTTGATAAAGTCTTCTTAGTTCTTCCATGCCAAAAGTGGTCTGTCTGAGCTTCTCCCAACTCCTCTAGTGCTTTAGCTCTACCTTTCTCATGGTATTTAACACTCAGCATATGGTGCACATAGTGTGTACACAAGCGTGCACACTGAGCTTAGCCCCCTCACAAGTTCACACATTGCTTGGGAGGAAAACATGTTAACACAGCACAAAGCATGCAGAATACACTCATTTAACATCTGTGGTAAGAATGTGGAATGTTTCATGACATTTAATCAAGCAAAATAAACTTGAAATGTTTCTAATGTTTTGTGAGAACTTATGACTTCTTTTATCAAGAAAGCTTTATAGGATTTATTAAGGAATACTAAAGAATTACACATAGGAAATATATATATTTATATGTGAAATTATATACATTGCTCTATTAATGTAATATTACTTAACTAGGTATGACTATATAAAACTGATTTATGTGAATTTGAGGATATAAATTTACTTAACTCATAACTGCAGAGAATAAGGCTATTTCAGCTAATTCTATGACAGACTCACTAAAAAGAGGCAGGGAAAAATGTTCAGGACCAAGGCATGAGGGGAATCTGGATGCTTAAGACATGTAGTTAAAAAAATTCCAGAACAAAAAAGAAATGCAAATATTATAATAATCTTTTGGTTGGGGGGAAGCTAGATGCTCTCAACCGGCCCAGACTTGTACATCGGTGCTCTGAGCCCTCGTCCTACTACCGCAAAACTTTAACTTGTGTCTTTTCAGGAAACATGTTTATCATGGGCAGAGGCTGCATGGTCCTCCTGAGAGCCCACAGCACAGAGCCTGGCACACAGGCCGTGCTCAACATGAACAAAGTGAGTCCAGTCCCTGCATAAGGCAGGGATGCGAGCTCCTTTCGTTCCCAGGGTGCATAACGTTACCTACATAGAGCCTGAGCACCTTCCATACAGGCTGAGCCAGGCACTGGAATGAGACAGAAGGTGAGGGCTCCAGGCCCGGCCATGGCACCAATTTTTACCCCAACCTAACATCATTTCACTTCTCTGAGCCTCAGTTCCTCATCTGCTAAGCAAGGGAGGGATTATTATGAGATTTGGGTAAGGTTATGTCGACTGCATTTCAATAACCTTCTGGTGCTATACACCAAGTCTTCTTATTAAGGCAAATACAACTGTGTGGGATCTTCTGAAAACTAACTCCCAAAGCAGTTTCAAGTTAGAGAGGTCATCCCAGGCCACCCTGATAAAATCTAGAACTTTTGGAGGCAGAAGTGTTTCAGCCAGATCATGAAGAATTCTTTCTTTCCTTATCAGAGTTAACAGCATAATAAACTTCTGAGGGCTTACTGTGTGCCAAGCAGCCTACCTGGATTATCTCATTTGACAAAACCCTCAGTCCGGTTCTACCACTCACTAGCTGGACATCCTTGGGAAAGCTGTAATGTCTGTTTTCCTTTCTCCGTGTTTCAAAAATGCATCTAATACCCCCCTGTCTACCTCACAGAAATGAGATGAGTACCAGAGATAGTCCCAGGAAATTGTTTGGGAAAACTATAAAAGACTACACAGCTCTAATATGTCTTACAGAATAAATTACTATTCACTGGCCAATCACAATTCTTACAATTCATTTACTTGCCACATTTGTATTTGGAAAAGCTTCAATTTAAAACTGCATTTGGATTTTTTCCAAAAGAAAAAAAAATACAGGTCTAACATGTTGCATTTTTGGCTGAGTATAAATTTTTTTAATAGTACTTAGGGCAAAGAGAGAAAGAAGGGGAAAGGTTAAAGAAGAAAGTACAGACTATAAAACAGTATTACTAAAATCTTACTCTCTTCTCCCATGACACTGATCAACTGCTACTCTCCTGGCCCTTTTTGACTAGTTTTATGATGCATATTATTTTAAAACTCAATTTCAGAAAATTTGTAGATGAATATCTAAGGAGGAAAAGATCAAAAAGGACCAACATGTAGCAAAATTTTCTTAATATAAAAATCACCGATAGCCTTATGGGCCAAATGGAAATTCCATGATACTAAGTTAAGGGGCTCCAACCTTCAGAGGAAGATATTAATATACTTATTAATGTACCTCCAAATAGAGGGTTGGCAAAAATAGGTCTACAATTGGGAGTACACAAAACAGGGTTTATTCTTATATTATTATTTATTAATTGTTGTATTATTTGCCTCACCATGTATACCTCCATGAGGTGTTGTAGGAATTCTCTAAAAAGTAATCAATACTAAAACCTGGGTAAGAGGCTCCAGAACTACCATAAACTGGAATGATAAACAATGTAAAAGAGACTTTTCATTTATAGGTTATAATCTAAGTCAGGGCTTCTCCACAGCAGTACTATTGACATTTTGGGATCAGAAAATTATTTGTGGTTGGGGGCTATCCTGCATACTGAAGGACTGTTAGCAGTGCCCCTAGCTACAAAGGCCCTAGACGCCAGGGCAACACATGACCCTGCAAAAGCCCACCCAGAATGACAATCAAAAAAGGCGTGCATACAATGCCAAACGTTCTCTGGGGCAAAATCTCCAGAAAGTAACTCACTTTATTTTTCCCTTTTTGTTGTCTTATGTGTCCTTATAGTTCTGCTGAAAGTTTTAGCCAAAACCCATAAGTGAGATATAGGTACCTTAGCTGCCTTTGATGACAACTTTACTTTGAATCAATATTCATTTCCTATTGATACTTGGTGACAGATCCAATGGCTTAATCATATTACAAAATTTTATCTATATACCCTTGCATTAACCAAATTTTCAAATGTCGTGAAACCATATAGGCGTAAGTCCATGCAACACAAAAGCACACATGTGAGAAATGACTGCCACATACAAAGCATCTTACTAAAAGTAAACAAAGTGACAGGTGTTAAATGCCAAATAAAAAGCAAGCCAGAAATTAATAATCCAGGACTTCAAAAGGTAATGCACATTTCTCTTTAACCTGATCCTTACAAAAACATACACACAACATTCATTATTTTTCAACCACAGGATGTTGAACAATAATGATTTTCCATGTAAGTATTCCAAGCTTAACAACATACATTATATCCAGAGAAATATCACCCAAAAAATCAGTTGTTTTCCATTTATGAACACTTACAAACATCTTTATAAACATAAAATGAGTTCCAGATTAAAAGCCCATATTCAATGCTTTTTTTTTTTTTTTTTTTTTTTTTTTTTTTTTTTTTAAATCCTCACCAGAGGATATTTTTTTCATTGCTTTTCAGAAAGAGTGGAAGAGAGAGA